ACCACGACATGCCTGGTTGCCTTGATTTGAAGGCGTGCTCCCTGGCTCGACCAACTATGGCATTGGCCGGTTCACAGTGCCCGCCCCTTGTGATCATGAAGGAACTCAACAGGCGAGGCTTTGTCATGTCAGACACATTGGTCGTCCACAAGTCTGAGGGTGCCCCCTTGACAGAGTACAGCATTCGGAAAGTGAGTTCCCGCCGAGAGTATCTCCAGTGCTTGCTGTCGTGGGACACCTTGGTGGGGCAGGGCTTGGCGGAGATGCGCAGCGATGCCCCGATCGATTACTACAAGAACTTGCTCCGAGGGAGCATCGTTCCCCCTGGACTGTCAGCGAAGATGTACAGGCGGATTCTACAAGGGGAACAGATCGAGGACGTGATTGCAGAATTAGACCTCCCTGAAGCCGTAGAAGACGGCGACGCGATTGCCCCTGGCGGGGGGCCCGAGCCTGCTGCCTTGGAGGACGGCTCGGAATCTGGCGGGCCTATTGGCGACGAGGCGCCAAAGTCTGACTTGTCTTCGTCCTCGAGCAGCTCGTCTTCGAGCTCCTCATCGAGTTCCAGCAGCTCGAGCTCGAGTACCTCTGACGAGATGCTGGCGCCAGAGGTCGAGGACGTGGCCGGCCCCGCCCCTGAAATCCCTGAGTTTATCGGGGGCCAGCGCCTCGCCACTGAAGATCGCATGGCGATCTCGGGATATTTCCGATATCGGCTGAAGTGCGACAGCCACCCGAACTGTGCTAGAAGGCGGAACGCGATGGCTGCTCAATGCGCTGATCTGGGCATCTACCAGCCCATTGCTTATCTGGCCGTGTGGCAGGAGATGGGCCGACACATGGGCAGGGCTGCCCACATGAGTCGGGCTTTAGAGATTCCTCTGGAAGACCAGAGGGCGTGGCTACTTGCGAACTGCTACTTGTGATGTTGAACTGTCTGGCTGAATGAGCGCGCCTCTATCGTCGCCGTATGTCGTAGTCCACTCGGATATTCATCACCCTCACCGTCGCCCTCATCATCGGCCTCATGTGTGTTGCAGCGTGGGAGTATGGATTGAGTGCGCATGTGTTTTGGCCGTCATTACCTTCGTCATCATTCTCACTGTCCGTAGCGTCACCATCACATCGCATGTGTCTGTCATGCAAAGTGTCGGCTTTGGGTGCTCGAGTTTCCTGGCCTGATGTCTTCTGGGGTATTTGGGCCAAGTCTCGGGGTACTCTACTGTGCGATTCGATGGCCCCTTGCTCCCCAGCGTGCGTTTGGCGTTAATTTCACTTTCGACGGTCACCTGCTCGTCGTCCTCACCACAATTACACTCATCATCATCCGCATCATCCTCACAGAGCTGTTTTCGACTCAAGCGTTCGTCGCGGTGTTGGTTGTCCCGACGCCAATTGGGTCGACCCGCTGTCCCTGGCGCAGGCCCGAGTAGCAGCGCCCCTGCTGGAGAAGATGGTGCTAACCCCGAGGGAGCGCGAGCTGCAGAGGGTCATCAAGGAGAAGAACAAGGAGATCGCGATCCTCAAGCGCATCAACACTAACTTAGTGAAGTTCCAGCTCCAGCAACACTCGAAGGTTGGCAAGCTCACCAAACATTGCGCAGCGTACACGGGCACCGACTACCAGAGGCTCGCCAACAAGTACGGCCCGACGTGAGACTGGCCTGGGGGTTGTTCGGCTCAGGAGTTCTGGAACCGCGCGCTGGGTGACGGTGCGCTTGGTCGTTGCGGATAGGTTTGAAAGTGTCTCTCGGGTTTCAAGGTGCATGCACTTGTTTCTGTTAGTTTCCTTATGCGCTAGGGCAACATGCAATACCAAACAGCTCGAAATCACTCCTCATACACTCTAGCATCTCCGAGCCTCTCCGAAATCACTCGAAATCACTCCGAAATCACTCCGAAATCACTCCAGCCTCTCCGAAATCACTCGAAATCACTTCGAAATCACTCCGAAATCACTCCAGCCTCTCCGAAATCACTCGAAATCACTCCGAACTCACTCCGAAATCACTCCGAAATCATTCGAAATCACTCCGAAATCATTCGAAATCACTCCGACACCCCGTGGGATCCTCTCCAACCTTAACTTCTTTTGTACTTTTCATGGTATGTAAGCATCACCATCGTCTCTCGTCGTCTTGTCTTGCTTCATCGTGCGTTCTTGCTTCCACTCGGGCTCGCGCAAAGCCATGAGGGGCTCCAAGAGGTAGGGGGGCAAATGGTAACAGAGGGAGGGAGGCCACATGGTAACAGAGGGAGGGGGGACAAATCGTAACATAAGGGGGAGGGACAACTAGTAACAGAGGGAGGGGGTGCACAACCAGTAACGGGGGGCAGGGGGGACAAATGGTAACGGAGGGAGGGGGGCCAAATGGTAACCTCTCCGTTCGTCGTCGTCGTCGTCGTCGTCAGTGGATTGTCGCGCCTTGACTCCAGTATCCCGCCATATGTTGAGTCCAGTGGCCCGTCGGGCTCTGGCTGAGAGGACCCTCCGATGCCTACAAAATTGGCCGCTTCGTCTATGTGGACTCAAGTGGCCCATCGGGGGCTATCGGAATCGGAATCGGAACAGTTGCGAAGCAACATCCATACAGACATGTGAGACACAACGGCGGGCGCCCTTCACCGCTGGACGAAGCCGCCAGTGTAATGGCAGCCGCAGGCCACGGCAGCCGACCCCACCGCGGGCCCCAGCGCGGGGGGCCGACCAGGCGTCTTGAGTGTACCGATTTCGGCCCAAATCGGTACACTTAAGACGCCTGCTCACGACCTTTTTCTTGGACCCTCTCGTCCGATCGTAGCCGTTTTGGCTCAGGCTGTTTCTGAGGTCAGCCAGTCTGCGGTGCCACCAATGCAGTCGCCGAGCCAGATAGCAGCTACTTGAGCGATGCCGCTGCGGCAGGAGGACCACGACATGGACAGCGACGAGGATATGATCATGCAGTACCTCGGCAGCGAGGTGTGCACCACCGCCGACGTCGAGGAGCTGATGTGCCAATTGTGCTTACTCGGGGGGGAGACTGCGGAGTTCTCGAAGTTCAAGAAGTTCGGCCTGGGGCCGCTGCACATTGACTGCTTCAATGCGTGCCAAGCGCTGGAGCGCACCCTGAATGCCCGCCCATCTCTGAAGTCGAGGGTGATGGCCCTCCTGAATACGGACCCCGAGAAGTTTCGGACGATTGCCCTGGCCATGCTGTCGAAGAACAAGCACGAGAAGAGACAGGTCCAGCGTGTTCAAGTGCTAGACTTCTGCGAGGAGCTGGTGGCGGTGGACAGCACTACCACTAAGGAGAAGGTGATCTTCTTGCACCACAGGGCGTACATCCAGTGGTTCAAGATGAGGGAAGGGCTGTCCGACGAGGAGGCGGCCAAGCAGTGGAACGAGGATATCAATGACCCCGACGTTGAGAAGCGCAAGAACAGGAAGGGCCAGAAGACCGTGGCCGTCGACAAGCCCGTGCGTGTCGAGCACAGCAAGAGCACGCAGAAGGTAAATAAATACGGCTCCTCCGAGGCGCGGTCATCAGCGAGCGCCGTGGCTCTCCGCGACCTGGTCGAGAGGGACGCCGAGAAGTTCCAGCAGGGCGTTCTGGCGCGCGCGGGGCGGAGGGCCCTGGGAGGCGGTGCGACTTCGAAGGTTCTCAGGGTGCGAAGATGCTTTGCTCGTGCGCCTGCTCTTGCCTCCCGTGCTGCTTCCCTTTTCTACGCCTTTCTCCTTTGTCTGCCTCATGCCCGATGCCACCCTTCCAACGCGTCTGCTCTCTCCTGGTCCCCTCCCAGGCTGGAGAGCAGGAGAGGGCCCGCGCGTCGCCAAGAGCACCGAGCCCCAGCCCAGCGAGGGCACCACGGCGATTGAGGAGCAGGAGCTTGAGCAATCGGACATCTACCAGCAAGAGGTCCAGGACCAACGGCTCGTCGCTTGGCGCACCGACGCTGCAGATCAAGGGTCGCGGGAGGACGCGTGCGGCGCAGCTGGAGGAGAGCGAGAATGCCGATGACGAAGATGGCGCAGCGGCTGCAGCTGAGGAGGAGGAGCGCGAGGAGGAGGAGGAGGACGAGGAGCCCGAGAAGTTCGTCGAGCTCACGGGGAAGATGGCGATCTCCAAGTTCCTGAGTGCGAAGCAGAAGTTCAGCGCCCAGTTCAAGCAGCGGCTGAATGCTCTGGACGTCTACAAGAAGGGCGACAGGTTCGCGCAGTCCGACAAGGCCTACTCCAAACTCCAAGGGACCGCATCTGACCTCGACAGCATCGACTATGCGGCAGCGAAGTCTAAGCTGACGAAGGCCATTGAGTCCTGCAAGTCGGAGTGGGACGGCATCAAGAAGTACAACCAGAGGATGAACTTGGCAGAGATCTAGGAAAAGGCGGTCAAGAGCATCGATGCACTCAAGTCGGCGCAGGCTGAATTCGACGAGTGCTTGGCAGCCGTGCAGCACATGAAGAACGACGTCCAGGCAAGCGCTGCCGATGCCTCCCGCAAGAAGTACGCTGCCCTGGTCAAGATCCAGAAGCTCTTCGAGCAGCACCGCATGGTGGACTCCCTCGCGAAGGCGTTCGCAGCATGCGTGCGCGACGCTGAGGACAATCGGGCAAAGCAACTATGGTGAGGGGAGGCTGGCTACGTGGACTTCGGGGGGGGGGCATCGGGCCGGCCACGAGAATGCCCCGAGAGGGCCCCAGGCGCGACCAGAGTGTGCTTCAAACATCTCGGGTACGAGCTGGCCCTCGTGGGGCCCTCTTGGGGCTTTCAGGAACACGTGGTGGGGAATTTTCGGGAAACGGTTTGGGAGGCCCTTCGGGGGCTGCGTTGTGCTGGAGGGCCCAGGGCCTGGGGGAGCCTTAGGGGGGCTCTTGCAGAGCCCCGCGAGAGATTCGAACTTTGCTTGATCCTGAGTGCGAGCTGGCCCTGTAGGAGCTCTCCTCGGGCGGGCCCCCGAGGGGCGAGGGCCGAGTTAGACGCCAGCCCCTCGAACCGACGCGACACCGCCCCCCCAGCGAGGCCGCAGAGGGTGATAACGGCGTGCTCGAGTTCAAGGATGGCATGACGCTCGATGTCACGAAGCCCTTGCGGACGAACGAGAAAGTCGAGAACTGCAAGTTCGTTGACATCTTCCGCAAGACGAAGGACCAGAACGCCGAGAAGCTGGGCAGGAAGGTGGAGAACCTCAAGAAGAAGATGAGCGCTAACGCGGCCATGTACCAGATGACCTTGGACAAGACGGACGGCCTCGATTTCGATGAGATTACCGCGGAGCTCCAGATTTTCGAGGGCGCCAAGGACCTCTTCCAGCACCCCTTCATCGTTGCTTTGAACCCGTACGCGTGGGTGTGGGACTTCAACAGCGTGGTATTCCCAGGCGTAGCATGTGCCTCGATGGTCATTGAAGGCGCAGTGTTTTTCAAGCTGATGCCCATCTCGTACCTGATCCAGTCTGGAATGTCTTCGCTCAGCTCTCTCAATCAGTACCTGGCCTCGTGCAAGGACGTCAAGGAGGTGCTCGGACACGTCGACTGCAAGCAAGGTGTCCTGAACCAGGGCGACATCCTCTTCACCCCGTTCGGTTTCGCGACGATACTCGTGGCCATTGGCGAGAAGGGCGACAAGGAGCCGCCCAAGGCTGTCTCCATTAGCATCCCCATCTTCCAGAAAAAGATCGACGAGTCAATCGACGAGGAGGCGAAGAAGGAGATCTTTCGCTACATCGAGGCCGGCCTGTCGAAGCACAAGGATAGTAAGACGTGGAAGAGCGCCTGCGGCCCCCTGACGAAGTGGGCGGAGTCGGTCACCTCATCATGACCCTAGAGGCAGCCAAGTTGTGCGTTGCAGGTTTTGGAGCTCAGGTGATTGCGGTGCCCTGGGGAGGGATCCACAATGCAAAGGAGTGAGCTTTAGCAGCGCGTTCCCGTCTATTGCGACGGCTGCCTTGGAGGGTTGAACGCTGGGCAGGGGGGACAAAGCAATTGTCCGTGGGAGGGGGGAGGGAATTAGAGGAATGGGAGCAACGGTTTTCTCAGATACCTTCCATGTCGGCCGACGCATTTTCTAGGGTGAGTCTTGCGCGAGTACCGTTAGCTGAGATCGGCATGCTCACGTTGAATATGCAACCTCCCTCGTGCAACTCACCTGGAACCAGGGACGCCAGGATAGGTTTGCATCCTCCTCCCCCGCTCCTCCCCCATGCCCCCGCGAGGGGGGGATGGTGAGGGCGTGGATGGGGCAGGAGAGGAGAGGGGCAGGCGGGAGTTGGAGTGATCTGACTGCGATGAACCAGCCAGGGGCCCAAGTCGCCTCGGGATTTTGTTTGGGCCCCCCTTTCGGTCGGCTCTGGGCCGCAACGGAGCCATGGTTGGGGCGGGCTTCGAGAAGGCCGACCTCTGGGAGGGCGAAAACCTGTGGATGCCTTTCCCGTGGGAGCGTGCCGAGATGGACAGGAGGCGCAGGCTCAGAGAACAGTTGGCGAATGTGACGAAGATGACTGCCTCGAATCTCATCCAGGTCAGCGGCGACGATGGCGAGGGCCGCGACGGCGCCCAGAGCCGCGGCGGCAAGAGCGTCGGCCACCGCTCGCCAGTGGACTTGTGGACTGCGCCTGATCCTGGTTTGACGCCGCCGAGGCCACGCGGAAAGCGGGCCCACCCTGAGGGTGAGGCTGCTAAGCAGCTCCAGCCCAAGCGTCGTAGGAACATCTACCGCACGCACGCCTGCGGCGTGTGGCTCCCGAAGCTAGGCTCGAAGAACAAGCCGACTGCCCCGTAGATCGTTTTCCCGTGCCGTGCATTTTAATCGAGTGGCGGGTGCGCCGCGACAGGGGTAACTAACACTTAGGAGACGGGCCTCCTGAGGAAAACTGTGTCGACGGGAGGGGGAGGGAGGGCCCCAAGACGGCTCCAAGAGGGCACCAAAGCAAGATACGTACACGAAAGCCTTCCATGTATCTTGCTTTGGGGCCCTCTTGGAGCCGTCTTGGGGCCCTCTTGGGACCCTCGGGGAGGTTTTAGAGGGGCCCAAGAAGGCCCCGTTGGGCCCCTCCCCCCCCCCGAAGGTCCCAAGAGGGTCCCAAGACGGCTCCAAGAGGGCCCCGAAGCAAGATACACGAAAGCCTTCTATGTATATTGCTTTGGGGCCCTCTTGGAGCCGTTTTGGGGCCCTCTTGGGACCCTCGGAGGGGGGTTTTGGAGGGGCCCGAGAGGGCCCCGAGAGGGCACCAAGAGAGTCCAAGAGGGCCCCATGAGGGCCCAAGTGCATGTGTACGGTGACAGCCTGATTTCCAAACGTATCCATGTTGTGACGCAACGCGTGCCCCTTGGCCCCCTAAGCCTACTTCACCCGCGCGTGCGCGCTCATTCTCCTACCGTCTGCGATAGGGCAGGGCAAACGCCGATACGAATAATGAGTAACGCAAGTATGCGCGTCAACCTATCCGCTATTCGCGGCCGAAGTAAGCAAACCACTGTCCTAAGAGCATTTAGTAGCAAGCGGTTTACCATAATGGGGTGGGTATAGGGTCTGTTCGAGACCCCGTTTAGGCCATCTTGGGGCCTTCTTGGGGGTTCCTCTGGAACGCACTCGTGGCCCTCCTGGAGCCCTCCTTCAACCATGTTGAGACTCTCTTCACACCCTCGTGTGCCGTCGAAGTTCGCTCGCCCACCAGCGGGCAAGTGACCCAATCGTTTTCTCGATGGCAGCGCGCGCAAGCGATCGCGATCGGGTAACTGAACGACTGGCCCCATCGCAATCGGTCCGCATCACAAACAAGCGAGCAAGCAGTTCCCCCCCCCTAAGGGCACGCGCTTGCACCGATGACTTCGATAGCAGTGAACTGCGCAACGAAAACGAAGAAAATCACTCCAGAATCACTGGGGGGAGGCCGAAATCACTCCAGAACCAGACGGCCCCCTCCAGAATCACTCGGGGTTCTGGCGGGCCCCCCTAACCCCAACAAGCCCGTGAACGCGGACATCACAGGAGGGGCCGGCTGGGAGGGGGAGGCTCGAGGAACAAACGGATACCCATACCGCCACTCCAGGGGCCCCTGCAAGGAGCGGGCTCTGATCGGAATCTCAAAGAGAGCCCAGCCATGGCGACGAGGGCCAGTATGGGTAATTGCCTCCTCCTCCTCCTCCTCCTCCTCCTCCTCCTCCTCCCTCCTCCCTCCTCCTCCCCCTCCTCCTCCTCCTCCTCCTCCTCCTCCTCCTCCTCCTCCTCCTCCTCCTCCCTACCTTGAGACTGAGATCCAACGTTGCAAAACATGCAAGATCGCAAACCAAAATCCCGACCAAGGGCCCAGTCCCTATCTTCCTGTGCCATTTCTCGACCCAGGTCGATAGATGAGGGTCCCTGGGCCCCAAACCCAGCGAAAACGCCTGGTGTTACCCCACACAAATATTTGATACGCAAGCACCTTCCGACGGATTTTGTATGTGCCATCAGGGAGGGCGGCGGTGTAGAAAGCCGCCGGCTCGCAGTGGGGATTGATACACCGCCATCTGGGGCGCAGTAACTATCCATTGGAGTGTGTCAGTGCGTACATTTTTGTAGCGGGGGGGCGAGGAGGAGGGGGAGGAGGAGGAAGAGGAGGAGGAGGCGGATGAGGAGGAGAGGAGGAGGGAGGAGGAGGAGGAGGAGGAGGAGGAGGAGGAGGAGGAGGAGGAGGAGGAGAGGAGGAGGAGGAGGGGGGAGGGGGGGGAAGGACGAGGAGAGGAGGAGGAGGAGGGGGAGGAGGGAGGAGAGGAGGAGGAGGAGGGAGGAAGAGGAAGAGGAGGAGGAGGAGGAGGAGGAGGAGGAGGAGGAGGAGGAGGAGGAGACTGACTGACTGACTCATCTGCATCGATATCCATTCGCTCCTCAAAAGAGCTACTCTAGGGGTACCGCAGAGCCTGGTGTTTGCACTCCAGGGGGCCTTAAATAGTGTGGGAGCGCTAGGCCAGACGCCGCTGCCATTGCGCGCGCAGCGCTAGCAGTGGCGTCTAGGCGCGGGGGCGCTTACTAAACTTGGTTGCGAGAGTTCTCTCTTCGCTGGATTCGCAGTCTGAGCTCCTCCAACCTATCCTCCCAGGGTCGACGACTGAGCGAGCGAAGGTAGGCGAGGGAGGGAGGCTCCGAGCCCGACCGAGGAGGAGGAGTCGATCCCTGGAGGCTGTTGGGGGGCTGCTGCCTGGGCTCTAGGCCTCTCTCTGAAAAAATTTGCTCCTGACCTGCTCTACTGTCCCTACCTACTCCTTCAGGTACATGTTCTCTTCTCCTCTGGCTCACTGCTTCCCTCTGATGCCGTATGCAAGCCCCCCAATCGGTGCCTTCCCTGGCATCTTCTGGAGGCCGCTCGCTCGTAGGCACAGTCCGATCAGGCGATTCACCCTGACCAGTGTGAAGTTGCCCCCTGTGTCGAGCTCCTGTGGATGATGCTTGCCCTTCTGCACCGCGATCTGCTGTTCCTCTGTGAGGTTCTTTGCCACGGGCCAGTGTCCCTCGAAATTGAATGAAAGACGTGATGTGGGTTGAACTCCTTGTTTGCTTTGGAGCTCGCTTGATCTGCATGTGACGCACCAGTCTTCGAGGTCTGACGGGCTGCCCGTCTCTCTGAATTCTTCGAGCCGTTTGACTGCTGCGAATATGCATTGAATTTCCTCGTTTTTGCCCTCTGTGGACGTGCTGGCGACTGTGGCGATCATGGCTCCCGCTGCGTGTAGGTGAGGTGACCCGAACTCGTGTCCTGCGCCCGCCTCCTTGACGAGCTTCTCGTACTTGGTGGTAGCTTCCTTGATGGCCAAAAAAACAGGGTGGCCCGTCGGGCCTTTGAAATGGTCGTCTGACGCTTCTCTCTCTCTCATGCGAGCTTCCAGTTGCAGTAGTAGCTTGGTGTCCTGGGTTCCTCCACTCTTGCCGCCGCCCTTGGCCTTCTTGGTCAGCTGTTCCTCTGGCTTGACGCTCTTCTCTACTGCCTCGACCGCCGATACCCACCGCGACATCAATGGTGATCGAAAGATTCTCAATAGAAGGCAAAACGTGATTGTGCGCTAAATGCTGATCTAAAAGGTCAGGAGTCTGAGCAATAAAAAGGCACAACGGGCATTGCGTGACGGCGTGGGCTTTCCTCTGCGGAGCTCTCACCGAAAAATCTGCAACACATCTCTGATGCTTCACTGATGCTGCAAGGTGCCACTGAGCGGTGGCACGATCCGAGAAGTTACTTTGGCAGAGAATGCAATAGTTCGACAGCGTGGCGATATGAGGGATCCTGTCCGTGGCACAAGTCTGCCTCAGGATCTTTTCTGTGTCCTCTCGCCCTCTCGCGCAAATTCTCACACAATGCGTGACCATGCTCTTCTGATCAGGAAACACTTCCTCGCAAACTGGGCATTGGACGGGCAATTGAGGTGTATCGCCCTGCTCTTCCTGAAGAGGGGGGGTCGCAGTGCCCCCGATCCCGCTCAGGCACACAGGGGGGGGGAACCGTCCTTGCAAGTTCGATAGACCTCAATTCAGCAACATCAATTGCTCTGAAAATCTCTCTTCCTTCTCCTAGGAACAAACCTAAAAAGTTTCCCTCTAGCTCCTCTAGGAGCTCTGGGCCCCTGGCGGTTCCCTCGAGCGCCAGAACGTCCTGCCAGAACTGCTTCAGCCAGGGGTTGGCCGTTGGGAGCACCTTGCCTTGAGGGTCGAATTCAAGGGGCACATCTTCACAAAAAGCTCTACCTACCAGCGCTGCGATCACCTGCTCATGTGCCTTCTGGTTCCACACAATGTCCTGCAGCCACTTGAGACGCCTGATTCTCAACTCGGTGAAGAGGGTTCCTATTTTTAGATGTCTTCGAACTTCTTGATTAGAAGGGGCTCGAACTCGATCTCGATTTCTGGAGGTGTATTTTCCTCGAAGCACGACCCTCGC